TGCATACAATTTACATAAAATATTATGTTCCTTCCAAATTTTTCTTGTAAGAGATTTCTGCTAATTGACAAATAGAAATTTCTAGCTAATTTATTTGTAGTTATAGATTCCTAAAATTGTAAAAGAGTTACTATAATTCAGTTTGGTCAAAAATATATCTGAATGTACTCTGATTTTGCAAGATGTTTGACCAATCTGATAAGCTGTGTACTTGTTTCTTTGTTATACCTGTGAACAGTTGTTCTTTTTTATTTGAGCTCAACAATTTTACTCTTTCCTTTTTCTTTTAAATTTTTGGATCATTTGTTCAAAAATACAATCTATGTCATAGACTTACATTCTTCTCCTTTTTTTTTTTTTATGCAGAACTGGGGATTGAACTCAGATCCTTGTACTTGCCAGGGAAGTGCTTATACTACTGAGCCATCTCCCCAGCCCCTAGACTTAATTCTTCCCCCTAGGTTATCAATTAATCAAAATGATATCAAATTTGGTTTTCTCACAAGAGACAAAAAAAATGTCACAGGACTGTCCTGCTACAAGGCTGTATATTGTTAGATTTGTAAATTTCTGTGTAAAAATATGTAAATGCGTATTCTTTTTTTTATCTTTTTAATCCTTTCTCTTCATATTCTGGAGGGACTCAAAGTTTAACATACCAATACTTGGTGGAAAATACCTGTTCCATGTTATGTCTAAGATGTGTGATATCCAGACAGATAGTGAGGTTAAGCTCAATTGTCTATGTGGAGGGTAATAATAATAAGCCTCTCTTCTGGAGGGTTAGCAACTTAAGTTTGCAGACCAAAAATTAGAGAAAAAGAAGGGCTGCAAGACAGCCAACATATTTTCCCTAGCTTTTCAAGGTCAGTGAAGACTCACAACATAGGAGAACCTGTACTATAATGTCATGTAACTCAGTTTTGTCCCAAATTTTATGATCAAGGAGATTATGGGGCCACAGAGGAAAATGAACGATGATGTAGTGTGCCTAAGGAGAGTCACATGGAGAGAAAACATTCTCTCAGGCCTTCACAGAGAGCAAATTAGTCAAGCAATGGCTGTGACTCATCCACATGGCTGACACTGACAAAGGATCTACAAAATGTGGTACAGGGTAACAGGATAAATCCTGAGGGGATTTGACTGACCTTGTCACATACAAAAATTACATTTCTTGTTATATAGGTCTTGCTTTATCTTGGTTTTAACCACCCAGCAGAAAAGTATGAAAACAAAGCATAAAAAGTAAACCAAAAGAAGGGGGTGGTGAATGAAAGCAAGAGACAGGAAAAGGAATATTGTAGGACTGTCCTGCTTCAAGGTTGTATATGATAGGATTTTTGGACTTATGTGCAAACATGAGAAGTATAGAATTATTTATCCTATTTTTAAAATATAAT